CCAGGAATGCAGATTTAATTTTTCATTGTGGGCTGAGGTTATAGGGGATGACATAGAAAGAAAACTGAAACTCTCAGGAATTATTTTCAGATAAGGCAAGAAAAGAATTGCTATATTCACCTGTACTTTTATTCCTCAGAGATTGTGGAGGCTTTAGAAATTAATAGTTTAATATAAGTTTATTTAGGCACACGGAGTCCCAATTTTTAGAGTTCGTTTAGTGTTGTGACAGAACAAGGTCTACTGAAAGTTAATGGACTTATTTCCTAAAATACACCCTGAAAACACCACTCTTATAAACTTTGAACAAGAACATTTTTTTTCCCCTATTTTTTCCTGTATACAGTGTAAGGTGGTTTATGATTTTCTTCAGACTTAAAAGGAATGTAAGTTCCCAGCCTTGTAAGGGGAAAACAAATGGAGTGTTTATGTGTTTTTACTCATAATCTAGTAGCCAGTGGAAAGCAGAAATACCTTTCTGGCTGGAGAATCTGCTCTGGCTGGGCTGTTGGAGCTGCTGTGCAGGCTGCTGCTCCATCTGTGCAGCTACCATTTTGTGTCTTGCAACCTCTAATTTGCAGAAGGGGCTGGAAGCCATCACATCATTTTGAAGTGGCTGTGATGGTTTCTCACCCCTGTGCAAGTACTTAAAAGTCGTTATGGCCATGTGTGAGAGAGCCACGTGTGCGCTGCGGCAGCGGGAGTGGGAGGCATGAGGGATTTTTAGAGCAGCTCTGATTAAATCAGTTTAGCTGCAGCGGGGCAGAAGTTAAATGTGCTGCTTCAGATGTTTGCCCTTCTGTGAACTGTGACATCTGGGCAGCTGTAAAACCTCTGTGGTCTTGCCATGGCTGCCAGAGAACGGCCGCGGGTACCCACTTCATGCTGGGAAGATTTGCCTTACAGCTTTGTCCCATATTCAGGAAAATGATTGGTCATGCTGGCCACAGCACTAGTCCTGTAGACAGGAATCCCCAGCTTGCCCTGTAAAGATGCTAGCAAGCTTTTAGGGCTGGAAATCACCGAGTCTGTTTAACTTCCTGGATTCCATCTTATTTTGGCCCTAATCCAGTCTCTGTTTTCCAGTTAAACATTTCTATTTATAATGCTTACCGAAAAACAGGATTTGTTTCTTGCACCAAAAACATTCAGAAGAAAATCTCCTGTAATTTTTTTTTTTTTTTTCTTCTCTTCTGTGACTCACCGAGGGGGTTTGATGTTCCACTTAGAATTGCAGAAAACAAAATTACAGGCAACTGGATTTATAATGGGATTTAGCCTTTCCCCTGGGGGTTCTGGATCAGCTATGTGCTTGCTGGAAGGGCTGGTTTCTGGCCAGTTGTTAATAGATATCTGTGGCTACACCATTTTAGCCATTACACCATTACAGCTGGCACTCTCCACAGAGGTAAGGTTCCTGTAGCTTGGCTATGTGCTTTTCCCCCTGAATCTGATGCCATGAGTCAGCTGAAATGCTATTTGCCTCCAGGCATGTGTATGGAAAGAGACATATTTCGTTTTAAAAGTCAGTCGCTTAAATGTACTGTAAAACTTGTCTTGCTCCTTCCATGACGGCGAGGAGCAGCACCCTGCCCCATGCCTCACTCCCTTCCCAGGCAAGTCAGAAGCTTCATCTTCCCATAAGATCCCTGTGGTGAAGCATGTGATTCTTCTACCTTCTTGCACAGAGGTGCTTTATTTCTAAACCTGACTTTCTGAGAAACTGTGCTGTAAAACATCGAGTTTGTGTACGAAAGTGTGTTTTACACTTACTGTGTTTTTGTTCCCTGTGGTGGCAAAAGGGAAGTTCAGATGTCACCTTTATCCTGGTGTGGCATCTCTGCTGAGTAACATATTATTATGCTTTGCTGTTGTTTACCTTGGCATGATTTAATGCATACTTGGCCTCAGAAAGAAAAACTTAAACTAGATTTTGGAATGCTGGTTCCTGGTGCCTGTCATCAGACAAATTTTCCTGGGAATTCCCTTAAGAATTGCTATTGCACTACCACAGATCCGAGACTCAGGTGAGCTGGAGAGCCCCATCAGCCTGGGGAAAGAGCAATCTCTGAAAATCCTGCGTCCAGCACTGCTCTGTGCTCGCCACAGGTAACCTGCCTGCATTTGTTTATTTAACTTCACACTGGGGATGAAGAAGCCTTCCGTTCCCATGAAGAAGCCCTAGTCAGGAAACCTCCACTGAGCTCTTCTGTGCATCAGTTACTTCCCTGTCAGTATTAAAGGTATTCATTTATTGAAGTTTTTGGTTGTTTTATATGTCTTATGCTGAGCAGGTCAAGTTTTGTTTTGTTTGAGGCTGTATCAAAACCTCTCATTGCACTTCTTTGAGACAAGTTATCTCCCTTTTCTCATTTTACTGCTCATCTATAAAATAAATTCAGAGAGCATTTTTCTTTTTTTTTTTCAGAAACAAATTCTCTTTATTTTAAAATCCAGACACACGTGCTTTATACTAAAACAGACACCATAGGAGACTTGGTATTCATCTCTAGTTTTAAGCAAAATTGTGGCTTTCAGGGCTGTCTAACCAGACACAGTGATTTCAAGGAAACTTTTCAACTTGTCTTCCTGCCAATGCTCAAGACAGTTTTACAGGCACTTCAGCAATCTTTCTGCTGATGGTCTCTCACAACAGAATCCAAAAAAATTCAGAGATTTCCAAGGGTTAAAAAAAAACAAAGAAGAGAGATAGAAATAAGGAAAAAAAGATATGGTGTCATATTAAATATATCCAGCTCGCTACCAATTTTCTGCCATGTTAATTTCTTCTCCCTGGTTCTTCACACCACTTCCAATAGCCATGTTCCAATAGGCAATGTTCTTGCCACAACACCAACTGCCTCCTCATTTCTCCATTGCCAATCTCTACTCTGTAATAAGACCTGTATAATTTTCACAGATTCTTGAATAGAAGAATTTTAAGTAAGAGGAACTCTACTTTTTGGGCAACTACTTCAGTTATATTTCCCAAGTTTTCCTGCAGCCACAGACTACAGTGGCACATGGACTCATGCTTACAGCAGTTTTCTGTTATCCTCTTCTTTCTCTGCTCCTGTGAGGTCCTTCTGGCAGCAAGTGCTGGTGACAATCTTTGGCAAAGATGGGCATATGTATTTCTCCTGGTGAGCTCTATATTCAGGCTGTCCTTAGAATCTGACACCTTTCCATTAAAAAAAATACTGCTTCTCCACTGAGACACCAGTACCCAAGGACTTAGAAGATTTTCAGTCTGACTTCCCATAAGAATTCAGTAAGTTTTCTTGAAAAAAAGCAAGATAAAAATCCCCAATCTAAAAAAACAGTTCCAAATTCATAACAATAGAAGTGTGAGCATACAATATGGGTTTGCACCATAAATTAGTTAGAAATTATTTGCAGAAGATTACTTGATTCAGGCTAGAATTTCAAAGATGCTGTAATCAGGATTCTGAGATTTTAATCTGGGTATTTCTCTCCTTAATACAAATCACAGCACTGCCAAGAGCTAGATTTGCTGTGGAAGACATTGATGCTAAACCAAAAATTTCCAAATAAACTCAAATATTACTAACTGTTACCATCTTAAGTCAAATATTTTCAGCCTATATTTTATGAGGAGAATGGCACTTTCATTTTAATTCCTCATTCACCTTGTCTTAAAGGAAATTCTTCTCTATTTTGTTGCCATTTTTTTATGCTTCCCTTTCATTAAACCAATGCTTAATGCTAATTTAGAAACCTTGTTTACTGCTTGCGAGCATAGTGGTCCACAAGAATGTAAAAATATCATTCCATGTAAAGGCAGGAAAAAAATATGCAGACAGAGGCTGGTATCTCTGAAATGAGGTGGAATAGTGTTTGTGTCTGATTCTGACACAAAAAAAACCACGGTTGAAGCCGTGAAGATACAGAATGAGCTGTGGTGACACAAGTTAAGTGTCAATACAAGTTAAATCCATTCTGGTAATCGTCTAGGCCTAACAAAGTGAGTTCTTTGCCTTGGAAACAAGAAAATTAAGTTTCTGTTTATTGCTCTTTAAACTTTGAGGGAAGTTTATCCAAAAATCAAATCTGCCATCCTAGTGTGACAAAACTGCTGACTAAACAAATATTTGACATGTTTTTACATCTGCTAGCCTGTGTTAGTTACTGAGCTCTCCCTGTCCTAAGTGCTGGAGAACAGGTCTTTGAACCTAAATCCACAGAGAAGAGGATTCCTGTTTGCTTAAGTAAGCGGGTAAAAATCACATATTTTCAGTTCATGCCTTGAGTTTTGCTCCACTTCTGGTTGAGGCTGTATTTAGCAAAGATGACTGGCTGCTATACCTTTCCTGCTCTGGGGAGGTTTTCCCAGGGAGGTGGAGAATGTGGGTTTGAATCCTTTCCATCAGAGAAGGCAAATTTATGCCGGTTTCCCTCCTTCTGCAGAAGAGCTCTGATGCTTGAGGTATTACAGACTAAAGGAGGAAAAGGCATATAGGGAACCTTACGGCTGAAGAGTGGTCAGACATTTTCAGGAATACAAAGTATGACAAAGGCTTTCTGAATTATCAGTCTGCATTTAGTTGCCTAAATCCTAAGTTCAAATCTGTCTTTGAGTATGATGATCTTTCTCTTTGGGACTCAGTGTTTCTTTGTCTCCAAGAACAGTTAGAGTGGGAGAATAAATTCCTCAGAGCCTGCAAAACATTGGTGTATGGTGATAACTTGGGCTGTCCAAGGTAACTGTTAGTTGAAATACGCCTGAGGGTCTGGTTTATGTCTTTCCTGGGTAGCAACAGCATCACCTTACATAGGGACAGTACCTAAAACGTCCTCAAAAATGTAGAATGTAACTTGGGATGAGCTATTACTATTACATTTCTCCTGAAGGCTGTGGGCAGTGCATGGAAAAAGCCAACAGCACTTTGTGAAAGGTAGTGGTGGCCAGAAGACCTAGAGAGAAGGCTGCATCACTCACCTGTTCCAGCTGGACTAGAGAAATAAGTGAAACACAGGAGTCTGCTTTAATCCATCACTCTATTTTATGAAGCATTTCACACAGCATTTTCACCAATTAGCATTTGGTAGCAGTTTAAGTAAGGGCCACAGGGTTATTTAAGGAAAAAGCCAACAACCTATTTCATCGTCACTGAGTCCTCATTTGGCAGCAGTGCTCTTGGAGGGCTTGGGTAGTACCCAGCAGTTGCTGAACTATTTGAGGAAAATCGTGTAAATCTATAATCCAGTGGTAAATCTGCAAGACAGAAACATACCACATCTGATTAGCAACACAGCCTGTATCACATAAAAAATAAGCTTGTGGTGAATAGCAGTAATTTTTAAAACCTTGAGCTGTTTGCTCACCAGCATCAGAATTCAATCAGATTGCATGATTACACATTTATTTGACATCTTCATCTCTTCAAGGGATTGACTTTCAGAGTTTATTCAACTGCAGTAAAGGATATTCAGTTCCTTGATTGCTGAATTAACGCTAGTCAGAGAAAATTATTTAACTAATGCTTAAATACTAATCAAAAATCTTCATTGAACTTAGATGCAGTTTTTCTCCCAGTACACCTTCAAGTTAATTCTTCAGTTTGTCATCCTTCTCTCTTATCTCAGCAAGAGGCTGGTAAGAGGGCTATGTTGAAAATAAAGAATCAGTTTCTTTTTTGTTTTTCATGGCTATTGAAGCAAGATTCCCGAAAGGCATCCGCTCTTAGACCTTGCAGTCCAGTGTTAACAACATCATTTTTTATCAAGTGTTCTTAGAAATCTGCACTTGTAACTTGATGTACTCATCACTTCCAGTCTGTAAAGAACACTGAATGCATTAAAATAGCACTGAACAGTCAAGGCTTTCTTTTCTGTAACTTTTTGAAAAGTCTCTGCTGCCAACAGTGACCCGCCCACCCTCACCCTTTCAGCCAGAAAACTGATACTTCCCGTGCTCACCTCATACTCAAAGTTCAAGAAACCAAATTAAAAAAAATGTATAAATAAAACTTAGTTCAAGAAACAATCCCTTTCCAATAAATGAAAAGAAAAAGCAACCTCCCCCCAGACAGGGTTATCTCTTTTGCAGGTTGTCTGTTTAGAACCAAAGTAAAGCACAAAAGCTATTACTCAGCTCATCTGTACAACAACTTATGAATTGCAAATTTTTATTTTTTTTTTAATCTGGAGTAAATTTTGGGAAGTGACATCCTGTCACTACATGCTGCAATTTTTTTCTTCCCCCACTCAACAGCTTCTATGAAACAGAAACCCTCAATTTTAGTAGCTTCGGCAAAAACAAGAGGAAATCCAGTTCTGCCTCACAAGTGAATCGCAGGCAGGCACCAGGACAGCATCCAGGTCTGCAGATTTAAACATAATGCAGCAAGCAAATGAGTACTTAGATGAAGCTGAAAAGTCAGATAGAGGCTGGAATAAAGTAGGATAGGAGGAAAGTTAATTGGAAGAGAATTATTTAAGTGGGTGATTTTAGCTTGTCAAAGAAGTTAATTTTCTCATTTTGCCTGAGTCAGGGAAATCTCTGGAGCTCATTGTGAGCATGGCTGAACAGGCAGATGTTTTCGTAGTGTGCAGAAGGCACAGTGGATTTACTGGCTGCTGAGACTATTTATGACACTCAGTTTAACACAAAGGTTTCAAAAATTACAAAATAAATTTAAAAAGAAAGCAAATATTTCCAAATATCTTTATGAGCTATAAAAAAATCAAATGTCATGCAGTTATTTTTATAAAAAAGCTTTTACTAGCTTAATAGTCTAGCAGTCTGGAGGTTCCCAAGAGCAGTTCATTCGAAGAGCAGCACAAATGGAGCAGACTTGCTACAGAGTTGCTTATTGCTGAGGAAGAGAATCAGCTGGATCAAAATGATAATTTCATTGGTATTTCTTGGTAAACTAGTTTTAAAGAATCAGCTTAAACACCCAAACCATTCTATACACAACGCAAAAGGCTCCAAAAGAGAATAATCACACTTTTATATATTCACACCCCTGTCTATCAAGTTAAACGTTACTTTTATCTCAGCAATCTGACTTTGGAAGATGATTAGAAAATACCCATTTTGCAAAAGTATATAAAAAAAAAACCCAAACCCTACAGTACTTGATAAAAAAGCCAATCTTGGGGGGAAAAAAAGTAATAAAAAAAAATAGCTGCTTATTTCTAAGTTGTTGTTTCTGCAGTTTTTTTATTTTTTTAGTTTTTTTTCCCTAGTGTTTTTTCCCCAGTAAATTCTTTAGGGTTTGCTGTTGTGCATGCTCACAGCTGCTGCTGTGGTGGTAGAACTTTGCATCTTGGCACCCACTTCTCACCTAACCCTTATGAAGAGTCATAAATGGGGCAGGGAGCAGATATGAGGTCCTCTCTGAGACACAGTTTGACAGCAAGGCTCTAACGAGTCCTAACCTACACACTACAATAACAAATTCAACACAAAACTCATCCAATATTGCCACTACCTTAAAAATCCCTAAATAAACTTGAACAAATGAAACAGCCTGAGACTGGAAGAAGGAACTAGCTGACTTTACCCAATTTATTGCCAATCATAGTCCCAGAATTTTTTTATCATTCCTAGGTAATTCCACCCAGAATAATTTTTTTTTAACCCAAGACAAAGAGGATATTCCCTTTAAGAGCAGAAAGCTCCCAGAAATCAGACATGAAGGGTCCCAAGAAGGTCCCAGAGGAGTTAAGAAGGTCCTAGATCGACAGAAATGCCAGTTATTAGATGTATCATGCTGAGCTCCTGTCCCACTCCTTTCTTTGCTCCCACACCAGCCTGAGTGTGAGCAATGAATACTGCTTTCCTTTATGGTGACCATTGAGTGTTATTAGCATTTCCCAATGGTTTGGGCAAGCCTCACAGGTTATATGGCTTCACCTGAGCTCAGAAGAGCTCCTGCCCTGCCCTGCCCTGCCTCCCTTATGCCCTGGTGTGAACAAAATAACAATGATGACATTTGAACAGTAGTTACTGTCAGTTACTGTGTTCCATTTATCCAGGTCCAGGTCTTAAGTGACATTAAGGACAACGTTGTGTTCTGATGCTTAAGTATACTCATAGCCACTCATGTACTTAGGAGTTATGGATGGATTTGTATCATATTTCCAAAGCTGACAACATCACACTGTCTCCTGTGTGGTACACTTAGTGTAGGCCAGCTAAATGAATGCCACAAGCTTTTATCAGAGGAAGACTTGGAGTTCCACCCACAAGCAAAGAAGAGAAACCACAAGAAGAAGGGAAAATGTAATATTCTCAATGAGTGATCAGGAAAGTATTTGAGTAACTGAATGGAAGACAATTTTAATTTAATCCAGACACAGGCCTGATTGATAAACTTACTACTCTAATTTTTTAAAATTTGCTTAAACAAACCAATACATTAAACAAATAAAATCTTAACTAAGCACTTTAGATGGACGGCATTGTTTTTCAATTAAAAGCACAGTCCAAGACTGAAACAGATTTCTCCCAAAATACACAGCAGAAATGTCAGGAATAATTTTTCAGTGTTGACCAACAAAAGCAAAGCCAACATTTTTTCATCATGACACCACAGCAGCATCCCTGGGACGAGTGAGAAGCTCTGCAGAAATCAGAACTTCCCCTCCCACCCTGAGGTCTGTTCCCTGCCAGTGAGCAGGGCTGGCGCCAGATGCTGCAGAAGCCTCCTAGTAAACAGCAGGGCTGTGGTCTTAAGTGAATCCAAATATATCCTCCTGATTATCACCAAGGAAAAGGCACAAGGAAGAGAACTAAAACCTTGTTAGTGATACCCAAGTTTGAAAAAAATCTTTAAACTGCTTAATTGTGGTAGATTTTAGAAAACACTGTCAGAGCTCTATCTTACATCTCATCATCTGAGTGAGGTAATTATAGGGGCAAACCATCAGCTAGTATAAATAATTATTTTACAGGATTTTCCATAATTATATTATTCCATAATATAGCTGGCTTATAAGCTTTATCATAAATCTTTCATTGCATTTCAAAGTCACTGCTGAAAGAAAACATTAATTTCTTAATTTCTAATTACAATTTCTAATAATTATTTCTTAGCAGGAGAGTAAGCAGAATTACTGCAGGGAAACTCACCAGTTTGATCGTGCCTTCGAGTGACCTGACTTGCCAGTCTGTGGGTAATCTGTAAGAAGTGTTGCTTTCTCTTAAATAATAAATGTTTTTATCTCCTGACCCATCTCTATTTTGTAACAGTCAAAGCAGCACTTGCACTAAAAGCTCAGGATGTGAGAGAGCATACTAGAGGCAAAAAGAAAAACCCAAGGCCACAAGTAGATTTATCTGATAGCAGTTATTTTTAGAAAAACTTCTAAGGCTGATTTTCCTAAACCAGAGGTCAGATGTTTGCTGTACTAAAGCAAAGCTCCCAAAAGAGTGAAGTCAGCATGAGAAAAGCATTCCTTCTGTCAATTACATGAAAGTCAGTGTTGCTGCCTGCATACTTCATAACTCAAAAGTTGGAGAGGAGGAGAGTCTCTGTGCAGTGTCGTATGGGAAAGAGGGGACTCCTTAAAATGTATGTTTGCTCCATAGGAGGAAGTGTCTGGGTTTGGATATAGTTGGTGATATGAGCCAGTGCAGTTTACCCCTGGGCACACAGGAATAAAGACTAAAACTACTCTCAGTCAAAGTGCAGGTTTGCTGCTTTACTTGCACTTACGTAAGAGCTTTTGCCAACACAGGTGTATTGGCTGGAGATCATGCCTGTGGCACCGCCAGCAGACATTTGTGGCCTGACCTTGGCCTGAGCAAGTGCTTCAGTGCCACAGAGGTTTGTTGCTGGTTACTTTTCTGTGGTATCTAACACAGAAGACAGTGCCACTGGAGAAAACCCAAGTGGCAAACTGCAGGGACATATGCAGCAGCAGCTTCAATACCAGTTTTGTAGATGGACAGGTGCCTGGGGAAATGGAATGACTGTCCCATCATGGCCACTGTGATTACTTGTGGTGTGCAATTTTATTGTAATTATCTTGGGAATAACAAATCACATCACTTTGTGTCTATCCTATGGCCAAGGGACAGCTGACCCCTTCCTGAACAAAACAGCTGTGCACAAGGCGTGCACTAACTTGCAGCCGAGCCTGCAAGTGAGAATCTGCAGTGAAGGACAGCCTTAGAAATTCCTTTTGGGTTTTCATCAGGACACTCATTATTCCTATGTGAGGGAAGCATCTCACATTTTTGTTTTAGTTTAAACAGTGGTT